TATTATATCGAAGCTCATCTTTTCAATAAAAATCTCTCCAGTTAAGCCATTGGTAGAAGAATATCGCCACCTCCTTGTCCTCCATACCAAACCAGGGCTTATCAACAAAAAGCAATGGAGAAAATCGAGGAAACTCAGGCTGCATTCAGAGGGGATCTTGACCAAGTAAAGGGTGATGTCACTTCAATGAAAGGAGATCTGAGTCAAGTTCTCCTAGCTTTAAAGAACATTATTGACAAACAAGACCAGATTCCCAGGGCAGCTTTTAAAGAAGTAGCCCAGACTATTGGTGCATCAAGCGGTCATCAACTAAGGAAAGGGTCAGAGGTAGGACTCTAGAAGTCCATCATGGTCCAACAAGAAGCTGAAACTGAAGGGTTTGTCCCACCGCCGCAAAAAGCAGGGGCATCTCGTACCCTAATGATTCCGACCAATGATGCAGATAATTACTTGGACCTGCAATACGGAGACCATGGCCTAGATGATGCCAACCAAGCGCCCTCAAAGACGACTGGTACTCATGTTATTGATAATCCATTAGTGATGAATCAGTATAAATCCCTGGAAGAAAGATTAAAGGTTGTGGAGGGTTTCGACGCTTTTGAAATAGACGCTCTCGAAATGGGCCTAGTTCCTGATGTGGTGATTCCACCAAAGTTCAAAGTACCTGGCTTTGAAAAATATGAGGGGCTCACTTTTCCAAGAAATTATCTTCGCATGTATTGCAGGAAGATGCATGCCCATGCCCACGATCAGAAGCTGACGATTCACTATTTTCAAGATAGCCTGAGTGGGGCATCTTCATAATGGTATATGCAATTGGAGCGAACGCATATTCGAACCTGGGAAGATCTTGCTAATGCATCCTAAAGTATTACAAATATAACCTGGACATGGCGCCTACCCGCATGCAACTCCAGAATTTTTCCCAGAAGAAAGAAGAGTCATTCAAGGAGTATGCTCAGATATGGAGGGAATTGGCATCTCATGTGCAACCACCACTGTTAGAGAAGGATTTAGTAGACACGTTCATGGGAACTTTGTACGGGCTGTATTATGAGTTGATGGTTGGAAATATCTCTTTGGGGATCTCACACCTAGTAACCATCGGAGAAAGAATCGAGACTGGGATAAAAAGTGGGAAGATAACAGGGGGACCGTCAAATGCTCCCTACAATTCAAAACGGTTTGCTTCAAACTTCACCAAAGGAAAAGAGGTAGAAGTTAATGCTGCAGCGTCACAACCCAGGGTACAAGAACCATTAGTGATCCCGCTAGGGCAGCAGCAAGGCAGAAAGCCACCCATAAAGTTTGATCCACTCCCTATATGCCACCTAGCCTGTTATTGCAACAGCTAGTTAAGCTATCCTTAGTGGAACTTAAGCCTCTAGCTCCTCCAGTCGGGCCATTCCCACGAAGATACGATGCCAACGCCAGGTGTGAGTATCGCGCTAATTCTCCTGGACATACCATAGAATAGTGTTGGCCATTCAAACACAAGGTGCTGGATTTGTTGGAATCTCAAGATATCACCTTCGAGAAGCCCCGCATCAAGTCAGATCCTACGCATTCGCATGACGGACTAACAATAAATGCAATTGAAATAGTTACTGACTCTGGGGCAAGTAGACAAGCAAAGACCCCGATAAACTCGCTGAAAGAACATCGGTTGGAATATGGACTCCCGCTAGAACACAACGAAGATTTAAAAAAAGCTCTGCAAAGGCTAAGGGACCAGGGGATAGTCCAGTTCGGACAATGCCCTGAAGGAAAATATAAAGCTACTCTGAAGGGCGGAGCACAGTTTCCTCCGATCCAAGAGACTCTTGTCAACAAACAACGGAGTGGTGCATGGCCGATATGGGGCAAAAATACTCAACAAAGCTAACACCAAAGTGGCAACTGAATTCATCCAAAAATGCGCCCTAGGAGAAAAAACATAAAAGATGGACGACCATGGAGAATCCTGAGATCTTTTTCTTTCCTAATTATTTTTTTTCTTGTTTTTGAAAGAACCTATGTCAAGCCTAAGGCATAGGGGTTGCTTGTAAGGGTTCCCCGTTTTGTTTCAGACAATATTAACGATTAATAAAAGTTATATTTTGTTTTAAATTAAGATCCCTTTTCTTTCTCTTGCTTTTGTATCTTAAATTTAAAAATGGAAATATTTTCTCTGCATATGCATTTTCAAATATCCATATACTAAATCGGCACCAAAACATGATAAAGGTGCAAATTCATGCCCAAAACCACCGATAATGCTACTGCTACGATCCGATATAATTTTGATGCTCCTATAAACCAAGCTAAAGAGGAAGATGGTAAAGATCTTGAACTCTCTGAGAAAATGGTGAGGGAAATAAAAAGAAAAGCTAACAATACGCAACCATAACAAGAGGCTATTAATCTGAGCATAGGGGAAGACCTGGAAGAAACCAAGCTAAGGGGAAATATAAAGAGCGAATCCACAAAGAATTTGATCAAGTTATTGCGCATATCTACGGAAACAGGCCAAGGCCAAATACAGACAGTGCCATAAAAATATGCAACTACGAAATACCAAGATCTAACGAAAAACCCGAGTCAGAGGCACATTGGGTATCCACGTTCGACGAGGCTTCAAACGCACTGGGGCACGATATAGGAAGTCGGATAACTTATGGATTCGTAGTGCATTGCTATTACTCTAAAGGTAAGTACATTAGGACTATCCCGATAAAGAAAAATTCAAGAGGGTATAATTCAAGAGGGGGAGCTCCTAGATGCATGGTGAAAATGGATTTGCAGAAAGCATACGATAATGATGAGTGGAAAGCTCTGGAAGATATTATGTCTGAGATGAGTTTCCCCAACAAATTTATTAAGTGGACTATGCTGATGATCCAGATTGTTACTTGTAGGTATAAGGTTAATGTTTCTCTTACCGATTATCTGAAAGCTCAAAGGGGGTTACGCCAAGGGGAACCCTTATCCCCTCTTATATTTGTTTTGATCATGGAATACCTTCATAGGCTTTTGGTGGGTTTAATGTCGCAACCCAAATTTAATTACCATTCTAAATGTGAAAACCTGAGTATAGTTAATTTGAGTTTTGCATACGACTTGTTAATGTTTTCCAAGGGAGATTCCATCTCTGTTCAGATCATGATGCAGGTGTTCAAAAATTTTTCTGAGTCAACGGACCTGACTATGAATAAGGACAACTGCAAAATTTATTTTGGTAATGTGGAGGATAGCATCAAGAAGGATATCAAAGAAGTCACGAGGTTTGAGGAAGGCACCTTGTCGTTTATATGTCTGGGCATTCCTCTAACGAGCAAGAAGTTAACTACGAACGATTGTATGGTCTTAGTGAAGAAAATTGTTGGTAAGATCAGACATTGGAGTTCAAGGCTTTTAAACTTTGCTGGTATAACTTAGCTCATAAAGAGTGTCATGTTCTCTATTGGTAATTTCTGGATGCAAAGCTTACCAATTCCCAAAATGGTCATCAAGAAAGTGGATGTTGTTTGTAGGTCCTTCTTGTAGGCTGGAACTGATGTTATCATCATAAAATCTCCAATTGCATGGAAAAAAGTTTGCATGCGCAAAAAAGGGTGGTCCCAATATTATATCTCTCAAGGATTGGAACATTGTGTGCCTTGCAAAAAATCTATGGAATCTATCGGGGAAGTCTGATAACTTATGGATTCGTAGAGTGCGTTGTTATTACTCCAAAGGTAACGACATTAGGACTATCCCAATAAAGAACAATAGCTCTTAGATCATGAAAAACTTGTTGAAAATCAGAGAGAAGGTGATCAATCTCCATGAATGGAATGTTGTGAAGGATCAGACCACTTTCTATACTAGGAAGATTTACATGGGCCTCCTTAATATGGATACTATTGTGCCTTGGAGAGTTGTTATTTTTAACAACTTAGCTAGACCCAAGGCTATCCATACCCTCTGGATGGCATGCCATAAGAGCCTTGCAACTAAGGCTAGATTGATGAGATTTGGTATTCTTGGGAATGATGATTGTTGCTTCTGCATGTACTCTGATACTTAGGAACATCTGCTATTTGTGTGCCCTAGCTTGAAGGAAATTTGGAATAACGTTGTTGACTGGTTAGAGATAAACCATATCCGAGATGTTTGTACTTCTGAGATAAATTGGTTCATTAACATCTGCAGGAAAAAAGAATGGAAGAATCATATGATTTAGTGTGCGTTTACTGAAACAATTCATGAATATTGAAATTATCATAATAGGATTAGATTTGGTGACAAGATGGATAACATGGTGGTAGTAAAAAAATATTATTGATGTTGTGGTATACATGATCTGGATGAAGCCTAAGGCTAGAAATACCCTATGCAGTTTATTAGTGCCATAAAGTGTGACCCATCGGTGTGTTTAGTATGTTAGCTTGTTAGATCCTTTGGGATCACTATTTTTTGTACTATATTTTTGAATCTATTTTAATAAAATCATTTTATTGATTAAAAAAATATTAAAAGGATCCAAAAGAAAAATAATGACATCTTTTAAATTTAGTCAACTCAAGTGAAGTAGTTGCATCAAGAGGTTCAAATTTGAGGTACACAGTAAGATTGTAAAAATGTATGCATAGAATTATAATTTATCATCGTCTTCTCTTTTTGTTAAACAATTTGTCCCTCTCTGTCTTTTTATTTTTCGTTTCTCTCTCACTTTAAACAAAACAGGCAATTGAAAAAAGAAAAAAAACATATCAAAACGATCGTTTGAAAGAACAACACGGTAGCACAGAAGCAACTCACAACGGCTCCGATGAAGATCCACAGAGGTGCGGTTTTTGTTTTACTTTCTATTGTGTGTTCAGAATTTGTGTTCATCAATCCTCTACCCCTTTGAACATTCCCAATGAATTTTTGTTGGATTTATGTCAAAATTGAAATTCCATTTTTGTTCTGTACTTATGTAAACCGTGGGCCTGAACTTGATTATTCCTTTTTGTTGATGCAATCTTTGTCCTATGTACCAAATAATCTTGATGTTTGACCTTGCAATGCTAATATCATGTACTAATATCACCTCTTTATTTCCTTTTTCATGTGTTGATGATGATATGGTGGGCATGGAGGATAAAATTGTTGGAGAAGAAGGCCAAAACTGTGGCCACTTGAAGCTTGGAAGATTGATTCAAGGCTTGACATGGGAGCAACCAAGTGATCTTGAGGAAAGAAAGAACTTCAAGCTATTTTTAGGAAATTTAGCATTCTTTCAATTTGAATTCATCTTGTACTAAACAATTTGAAGTCATAGAATTTTAATCCTTCTTGATAAAAAATGTAGCTTGAGGACTTAGGTTTAGAAGTCTTGAGTGTTCTTGTAACATGTAGAATTGACAATTTTGCTTGAAGTTTAAGTAATAAGACTTAAAATTCTCTTGTAAATTGATGAAGTTTCTTTGGAATTTTTAGGCCATGGAACTTGAATGTTCTTGTTGTAACTTGAAATTTAGGCCCTAACAATTGGAACGGTACCTTTGTAACTTGAGAAAACAATGTACCAAAATGAAAATTGTCATGTTTTAATTCAAATCAACCTTTCATATTTGCAATTTCTTGAACGCTTTGAATTGTTTTACAAACTTTAAATGAACTTGCATTTGAATTAAGTTATGTCTTGCAATGACCTTGAATAAAAGTCCTCGAAATGATTTAATTTTAATAACATTTAAACTTGAAATTTGAACTTTTAAAATGTCTTGAAAAGTGATGAATGTGGTGCCTTTGGTAACTTGAACTCAAAATGATTCATATGAATGAAGTTGGAGTTATATCCTGAATTCCAAGTAAATCACTTGCATTATCTTCTATCTTTAACTTGAATCAAATGCTTAAACAAAATAAATGCTTAAGAACTTGATGCTACTTGATTTAATTTGAACATTCTTGAATCAATGCTCCACAAGAAAATGAATTCAATAGCTTAATCAACAAGAAACATCTTGACTTGATAAAACTCAAAGCAAACCTTAACCACTTGACAAGTATCATCTAAAGAATACAATTTTGATTCAATCCTCTATACCCTGATCGGAACCATCACCTAAACTTCTTGATTCAAAGTCTTATCTTGTAAAAGAAACAAAACAAACAAGACATATTTTCGTATTTTGATTAATGGTTAGTGAAAATATAAAGCATATAAAAACAAATGTAAAGATACACAAACAAATCTCTTAAGAACAAAACAAAATATATGAGGGTGAGGAGATACCAAGAAGATATGTAAAAATGAAAAATGATATGGGATCTTAGGGGTAAAAATTAGGGTATGACAATAATCAAGAATATTAAGTTGAGAATTGTGGGGGATTTCATCCGGAAAAACCTAGGGTTTATCCTTCAAGATCTTTGTTAGATTTGGGGGTTTTGTACAAGACTTTCAAAAGAGAATTGCGGCCAACTGAAAGCTTTAGAGTTTGGTACCCAGTGGAGTATCGAGAGAACGTTGAATCAAATTGGAAGTGCTTGTGTTTAATAGTTACAATTGATCGTGTGCGAAAGAGCTTTGGAGTTTGGTACCCAAAGGAGTAGCAAGATTCCATAAATAAACTGATAGCTATTATGTCTTGGTCTTGATCAAGATCAAAAGAAGAGAAGGATTGAATAAACAACAAACAGTTAGTGTTTGAAGGGTTGCTCTTGAAACACTTCTCTTGTAATCAACTTTTTGCATAGTAAGAAATTATCTCAATTCCAAAACAGAATTGGGGGAGACGTATCCATGACGAGGACGATTGGTGAACTTTCTAAACAAATCTTAGTGTCATTCTTTCTTATATCCTTACTTGCTTTACTTTTCATGAAGCAATTTGTTAAATTTCATTGATTGATTAATCGACTCGTAAGAATTTTTGTGGTTGTTTTTGTTTTAAATTGGTTATTGATTAGCTTATAATCACTTTTATTATTAGTGCTTTTTCATATCAACAAAACTCAAGGAAAATTTCAGAAAATTCGTTCGCACACCAATTGTTTGATAAATTGCATTGTTCATTATGTAAGAACAAGAAGTGTTTCTACATCTGGCCTTAAGATTTTGATGATAATTTTACATGGTATCATAAAGAACAATTGTATACTCTAATGGTTTCATTCTAATATGTAGTTTCTGTTGTAATGTTCTAACTCTGGTATCAAGGTGTGTGACATCATCAGGTTTTGAACATAAACACTGCTAGAATAAAACATTTGGTTATGTGTTACAGTTAAAGTCAATATTCTGGAATTCGTCTTATGAAAAGATTCATAGGAACGCTAGTACAAGAGGTTCTGATCGTGACTTTGTGGTTAAGCTTTGGAGGGCTTCTAAACCTTTGCTTATATGTGTTCTAAGTTCTGAACATTATGAAGACGAGGTTCTGCGGAACAAGTTCTGATGATCTAAAGAAAATATTTTTTTTACGACCAAGTGCTGAAGACTCCGAAGACAAGGTTCTTATGGGACAAGTTCTGAAGACTCCAACACTTAGGTTCTAAGACTTAAGAGTGATTCTTCTACAACAAGCTTCAAACATTCAAATTATCCGAGGCCTCTGAAGATTAAAAGAAGTTCAAAATGGTTAACGTGTGACGGTGTACAAAACGTACAAAAAGTGTTTTGTTACCTCTACCCTCTAGGGTGGCATAAAGACAGTCCTTTCGTATTATATTGTGTACAACTCTCATTATGATCGTCAGGAACTGTAATACAGTCGGAGAACTGACTTTAGTTTTTGCATTTTATCACAAATGTTGCAGATAGTAAGAGCCACCACCGACTTTTCTTTTATCGAATAAAGGAAATGGTGAAAAGAACAGGAAAGACTTTTGAGATTTTTATGAGTTCGGGGGGTAGGTTATGAAAAGGGAAGATGTTAGCATCATTTTCATATGTAGTCATCTACAGGCTCTTAATCGCTAGCTCACTTTTTTTAAAAAGCTTTGCGATTGTGTTTGGAAATATTTTGAAAAATGCCTAAGTACGACAACTTTGTAATAATTCTTGTATCAGTTAAGAATGCGTACAAAGTGTTTGTTTTTGAAAATATTTCAGAAGAAGTGTTTGTGAAAAAGATGTTTTGTTTTTGTGAGCAAGCGATTACGAGCGATCTACATACTCAAAAGTCTTTCGTGTTATTTTCCTCCTCCTTTAGATATTGTTATCCTACCATTAGTTAGTAGGAAGACCTATTGTTGGATGTCTGAGGGACATACGCGAGTCATCATACAACCATAAAGGAAACTTGTAGGGATACCTTAGCAATTCAAAGGCAATGTCATCATATATTCATAGGCAACATCGAGGGACAAGATCCTTTCTCATAGGAAAATCGAGGGACATCGCAGAACTATGATCTTTATGATGATATTAACCGAGGGTCTTTGCTAAGGGTATCCCTGCTTTCGAAGGACATGACCATTTTTTCGAGGCAACAAGTGAGTTTACCCCAGAGGTGCAAGTATGAAAAGTGATTCATGATCAGTTTATTTATCTTGCATTTAGGGTTTTCTACAATTGTTTTTAAATCTTGTCATACAATCCTATTAACTAAACAGTAATAGCAATAATAAAGCATTAAAGTGCGGGAAATAAAAATCTACGTTATTACCAGGCTTCGGGGGTGGGGGTACAAATAATAAATATCGGGGGGGAAAGAGTAAAACCCTAATTTAAACTATTACAAACCGTAGCAGTTACATAATCAGAAAAATAATGCAAAAATAATAAAATACGCGAAGCTATAAAGTAAAGAGAAACGGGGAAAGAAATTGTTGTGATTTTTGACAGAAAAAAGGTTTAATGTTTAACCTAAAAACTCTAATTAGTTTTAATTAAGAAAAAATAATTAATTAATTAAAACAAACCCTAAATTGATTTTAATTGGAAAAATAAGGGTTTAATGATAAACCTAAAAAAACTAAATTATTGATTTAAAAAAAAGAAATTAATTTAATTAAAAAAAGATTAATTAAGTTAATTAGAAAAACTAAAGTCTAAATTGATTTTAATTTTCTTTAAAAAAAGTTAATCTAATTATGTAAAATAAAATAAAATGAAATGAAATTGGGTCTGTATCGAAGCAAACCAGGGGGTGAAAAAATAAATTCACTAGGCCCAAAACAGCAAGCCCATTATGCTTGTCTGAGATCCAATGGGGCTTCAAAGGAGGGTTCACCATGTTCCAGCAAATATGGGGCGTGAGATCTAAACTTGTGGAGATCTGATGATGATAAGATGAGGTGCATAATGGACGCATGAGGGTTAGCTATGTTGAATCTGCAATAGAACAAAAATATGAAAAACAAAATACTAGAGGCATTGATCGAACCTGTGCCCTGGTATAACAATGCCTTATCACGCGTGCTTCTACCGCTGGGGCGGCTGTAGATCCATTAACCTATGCCAATCAATAAATATATAATATAAGCAAGATGCTTGAACCAGAGAGGCGTCGGAGCCCTAGCTCCAGTCGTCTTCTCCAACTTGCCTTTCATCAAACCTGTGAAAAACACATTAAAATAAAATATCTAATGACTTAGATCCACTAATTGACATGCTACGATTTCAATGGCACGGTTAGTTGGGATTGAAAATGCTTGTATCATCCAATTCGATGTTCAACGATTTTTGAGCCCTAACAATGGTGAAACGTGATTCCTGCGTCAAATCTCACATGTAATGCGTCAATCTTATTCTAATCGTGCATATGAATAGATTTAACATTTTAGAAATGATCGAAAATACATAAAATCAAGGATTAGAAATTTACCAAACTTGCCAACTGATGTGGTTGAGATAGTGCATTCTGGCGCTTGAGAGATTCAGTTGTGGACTTGGATCAACTCCTTTGATCCTCAGAAAGTGGTTGCTGGCCTTAGTTTGGATTGAAAGTGGTTGGAAACTGAAGTACGAATTTTGTACTTTTCTTTGAATTTTGTGAATTCTTTAGGGGTGTGTTTGAGGCAGCTTTTTCGTGTGTTGTTGGTCTGAGTTGTTGTGTATATACAGGACAATCAAATTAGGTTAACAAAAGTGGAAAGAATCATGTCATTAAGAGGTGAAGATTTTGATTGAAAATTTGTATGGAAATTTGCTATTTTTGGCTCAATCTTGCACCAATCAACCTTGCATGAATTTGACAGCTTGCACGTTTAATCTTGGGCCTTAAATATGATCCATAGCAAAACCCACATGTCTTAACCTATTGATCTTATATTTTATTTAATTTATTTTGGTTTTAATTGAATAAAAATA